AACTAACTAACTAGCTAACTAAGTAACTAACTAGCTAACTAACTAACTAACTATAACTGACTATAAAACTAACTGACTAACTAACTAAGTAACTAAATGGCTAACTAACTAACTCACTAACTAACTAACTAACTATGACTAACTAACTGACTAACTAACTAGCTATCTAACTAACTACACACACAACAGAGACCGACTTGCTTGCAGTTGAGGGAGAGACATGTGTGGTTCGCTGGGAAACGAGAAGAGATTGTATCAAAATTCCCAAACGTTGTAAAACGATAAAGAGTTAGAAAAAACGATATGGCGATAAGTGGTTAAACAATTGTATAATATAAGGTTTTTTAAATATCATGTGGAGACAACGCATGGCGGGCCCGTTGCCCGTTGGGGGCCCGTTGGGCCCGTTGCCCGTTGAGGGCCCGTTGGGGGCCCGTTGGGGGCCCGTTGGGGGCCCGTTGAGCCCGTTGCGAGTCGGGCCCGTTGGGCCCGTCGGGCCCGTCAGGGGTTTGGCCCCAGTGGGGGTGCTTCCCCGCTGCCTGGAATGCAAAATGCTGTCCCAATCGTCGGCGAATGGTTTCAATGGTATCTCTTTGGTCACGAGGAGTCCCATCCAAAAGCTGGGTCATGAAGCTGCACACACTGCAGCCTCAGAGTCAACAGGTGGGTCACACAATGAAGAAGACTCTCATATTGAAGATTGCAAGTAACCTGTGAAAAGGCTCTCGGACTTTGCCAACACAATCCATGGCAGCTCAACTCGCCAGCTATTGTTGAAGGTTCCCAAGTCCGCTGGCCTGCCATCTAGGTGGTCCAAATTCTGTTGGGTCCTGGAACACATGGACACAAGGATCATTCGTCGGACACACAGAGCATAATAATTGACATAGTGGGGCAATCCTCTCAAACCAGTATGCTGAATGATACCAGCTTCTCCGTCCGGCAGGCAAGTACAGCTTCTGAGCCATTGGTGACCATTCCCCATGTCGTTCTGCATATACCTCCAACCAGTTTCTTGCATCCTGAGTTGTGCAAGAGGTGCGGCTTGAGACTTTCAATGACAAGGCTCAACATGACTGATGCAATGTGCACACACGCAAGCTCAACGTGTGCAAGTGTCCAAGTACTTGTGAGCACGGGGAGTATTCCGCACAGACTGCCAAAGGCCCATTTCCGAGCGTGACAGCACAGTCACTTTGTTCTTGGCAGCATCGCTGCGAGCTTGTTGCAATGTTCCCGCACTGACTCCCGTCAATATTTTGAATGCCTCAACACATACAGACACACCAAGGAAGGTAAAGCCACCCTGGCCCCTGGCCGCTTCCATCAAATGTGTCCGGCGGTGATGCTTTGGCATGGAGCTCCATAGAAAGCGCCAGTTCCTGACCAGACCAGGGTCGCACCGGAACCGCTCAAGACAGGGGTGTGTTTTCACACCCCTGCCACACTCCTTGTTCACCTGAATCTCCTGAGTTGCTGCACATGTCCGACATCATTGCTTCAAGGTCCAATGACCAAGTGTGACTTCATCAGAGCTGTCACTCATACATACCACCCAAATCACCCCAAATCCAAGATTCGATCTGGGAGAGTGACAGAAATTCCTCCACTCGCAGATGGGCTTTGGCAGCCAGAGCTCTGCTGAACACTGTTTTCTTTGTCAGGCCAAAAGAAATCCTGCCCACACCAGCAGTGGCAACTGCACACAAAGCTCGCTCAGCTCGCTGATATGCTTTGTGAGGATGCATTTCCTGAGCTAAGCCAGGCCAGGGACTGAAAGACTCAGACCATAATGCACCATTGCAAACAATGGTTCTACAACAAATACATACAAATACTACAGACAGACATGGACAAAGTGTCTGCTTGAGCTCGATCTTCCCGGTCCAGCTGCGCAATAGCAAATTGGCGGCTTTTTGCTAAAATTCCCTTTGGGATGTCACTCGATGATGCAGTAGCCAAGCTCCTTGGACCCACATGAACCGTCAGACAAGATAATCTAAATTATTAGCCATGAGTGATAAATACTCCGAGTGTCTGAAGGGCTTCAACAAGCTCTGCTGACGGCAGTTTCCATGGGTCCCACTTTGATATGCACTCACAAACCTTGATTTCTTCCTGGAGGGCCAATGGCTTGGCAAGCTCGGTGGCCTTTTCAGCTAATAGCTCTTCGCAATCAGAATTATTCTCATCTGGCAGTTCTGTGGCAGAGACATGCACTGTGACACTTTCATTTGGCAACATGTCCGGCGGGAGAACTGGCCACCAGTGATACCTGGACTTCATCACTAGTGGGATAACGCCTGCAACCTCGTCTTGCTCATGCAAGGAGCGTCCGACCAAGGTCTGAAGTGTCAAAGTCTCATCGCTGTAAATGACAGCGTCTACGTTGCATGCGCATGCGAGGGCATGGATGAAGACCACATCGACCCACTGCCCTTGGAGCCTCACCTTTTGTAGATCCATGTCTTGCCGGCCAGCCATCGAAGCGCTGATCTCCTGGATGCTGAGGCCTCCAAAGATCTGAGATGGCCTTGGAATTTGTCAGTGTTCAAGACAGTCTGACACATGATGTGCTCTCAAAGTGTGAACGAAGGAACTTGTTGTCCTGGAGCCATTGAGCAGCCAACTTCCTTGCGTCCGAGATCTGCTTTCTCTCCTTGGCAAAGCGAAAATAGATTAAAATATCTTTGCAATGAAATCTCAATCCAATAAATTTGAGCTGAGCATCGTCATTCATCTTTCTCCATCGCAGAAACGGCTCTCTTCGTGGCAAGGGTTGCCCAAGGGCCGCGGTGACAAAGGCTCGTGGCGCGCAATCAGGATCAGTGACCCAATCCTTCACAACCTCAGGGCGGTGAAACAAATACTCCAAGAGCTTAAAAAATCAAAACATGGCGGTTAGTCCGGCGGCTGTTCATGACACCTGGCTGAGGAAGCAACTCCATCTTCAGGATCAACCTCAGCTGCTTGATCAAGAATCAATGGCTGACAAGCTAAATGCCTTTGCAAACTGAATTCAGTCCAGCAACTAGGGATGTCAAAGGGCATCTCAATCCTCCGCGCCCACCACCAGATGGAAGATCAGGAATCTCAATCTCATATTTGTGTAGCAGGTCCGGCGTGAAGAAAGGCTGCCACATCGTAACTTGTTTGCTTGGGCCAAACGACGTGAAGCACAGCTTTGAGATATCGTTGACAAAGACTGTGGCTGACTGAGATTATTTGAACTTGTGCAAACAATCTTTGACAAGCCGTTGGCATCTTTAGAGCGGGTGAGGAGTTGGTCGTTGTGACCGAGGTTGTTGTGACTTCCTCGTTTTTTTGAGGAACTTCATGACAGCCTTCTGTACAACATTGTAAGCCTTCCCACATTTGCAGGGCATGACTTCCCTTTCAATCTCATCTTGAATTTCCCTCAAAGTCATGTTTGGCCCTCTCTCACTCGACATAACTTTTTTCACCTCAAGCCAGCTGTCATTCACAGAAGTCAGGAATCCGGAGGCCTTAGGTTCCGGCTTCACTTTTCAGTCTGTTCTTATCCCGCT